CTTATCTCAACCCACAAATTTCCTTCTCTTTGCCTCTGATTCTCCAGTTCATCCCACTGGGGAGGAGGAAGGCGAGTGAGGGCAGTGTGGTACTTGGCTGCTGGCTGGGGTTAGACGGCAACACACACCTACATCCCTGACCCCTTAACACCTCGCTGCTCCCATTCCCTCGCCAGCCAGTGCCTAAGGCAGCATACACCATCCTCTGCATCCCAGCAGGTGCAACAGGGCTGCAGCATCCTTGTTTTCCACTCCACCCACAGTGAAGGGTGCCAAAAGGCAGACTTCTTTCAGAGTTCAGCAGAGGTCCTGAAAGCAATCTATTAATCCTAATCCATGCCATAGTTCCCCATGTGCCTCAATTTCTGAGGGATTTGCTTGCAGATCAAGCTGAGGAGGCAGGATCGCTGACTGGTTAATGCCATGAAAGCCCCTCACAAACAGGCACTGACCTGAGGCGAGCGTGACCTCTTAAGCCAAGCCTGAATCTCTGGTTACTCCGAGACCCGCAGCCTAGGAGTGGGTAAAAGCTGCCCCAGTACAACACCCACCTATTCAAGAACCCTTAAAGGCACACTCAGCCCTTACCTGCAGCGCTAATTAGCATTAGACTAAACTGCAATCACTGAGCAAGACCCACAAGACTAAACCAGTAGCTGCTGTTTACAAGCCCCATCACTGAAAATACATACTCCCAGGAGCAGAGGTGTAGAGAAGTACGGGCTCTCCGTCTCTTCTGACCGAACAAAGGCACATTCAATAACCCCTTCCTTCCCGTTCATCGCATCCACCAGAGAGAACACAAACCGAGCGCCAGCGTAGGCCATAGACAAGGTGGCAGACCCTGTAAAAGTTAAATCACTTTCAGAACAGAGGACACCGAAACGTGACAGTTTCTTTAGCACCACAGGCTTCCACACGCTTGCAGAGCTACGGCGTCACCAACTTCAAGCTGACAACTAGTTGGCTAAAGCAGCTGCCTTTGGCCAGCTACGTGCTGCTTAGTTGACCAGATTTATAGGGAGAAGCAGCTTAATTTGACAGAGAAGATTCTTGTTAAAGCCATAAGTGGCGTGGGATCAGTTCACGTCGTACCTACGTACCGAGCTGCTTCTAGCACCACAGTTCAGGCAGTCGCTGACGTGGCGGAGCGGCTAGACTCCTACGTGCAGTTCGTGATAAGATTAAACTGAAGAGGACTGCATCCATTCAGCTGGCTAACAAGGATTACCTGGATGCTGTAGTCAAGAACCAACCTGCTCCTGCTTTAGCTTTGACAACTTCAGTCCCAGCTTCCTGAATTCTCCCTGTAAGCTTTTCCAGCTGATCCTGAGGGAAGTCCACTTTTGGCGTGCACTAGATTGAAAGAAGAGAGTTACTCTCAAATACCCCTCCAGATTCAGCATAAGGTCACCCACACAATGCTTTTTGTACCACTACAGTTACCAAAAGTTCTCCACCGTGAAAATCAGTGACCCCAGTTCCCAGGTTGTGTGACCCTGACCAGCTGCAAGCGTTCACCAAGGCTGCGGGTACCGCTCAGCTGCAGCGGGAACCCAGCCCTGCCCAGCTTGCTCACGGGCAAACCACAGCTCAGCAGCAAAACCAGGGCCTGCCACGGTGACTCGCTCTTGCGCAGCCCTTCACACTAGACAGATGCCCTCCAGGCACGTAACGGGCCTCAGGAATTTCAAAGGGCCACCTTGTATGTATCTGGGTCACCGTGGCATTATGGAAGCCAAGAGCCTTATGAAGGATCCAGTCTGCCAGCAGCATTTAGGAAGTTACCGAGCCGGCAGATACAGCTAAGCAGTACGTTAAGGGCAGCTGCCTCTGTCCCGACTGCCTGGCACAACGACCGGCTGCAGCGGCGGCCGTACCCCAGCCATCTCCTCACGAAGCGGCAGCCTGCTTCAGAACCGAGTTTACTCTGGCCCAGACGCAGGCAGGAGCCTCTGCTTGGCTACCAGCCACTGCCGAAGCACGCCTCCTCTCACAGCCTGAGCTGAGCCTCCTCATTTCAATGCTGTACGCTGGAGTGGTGGTTCTAGTCCACCATGGCAAAATCCGTCTCATTTTCCTGCCGAAGCAAGGTATTCCTGTCATGAAATACCTGTCACAGAGAAACCCAAACCAAACAGTGCCGAGGGATCTTAACACCCACACACCACCTCAGTTCTCATCCCAAACTCCTTTAGAGGAGAAAGAGTGAAGCTATTACCTGGAGGAGGTTCGATTTAGCTCACTGCCAGTACTGTACCTCAGCTCGGAATGAAAGCAGCAGAGAAGACTCTCTGCCACACCTTGGCATGTCACATCCCACCACAGCGGCACTTTACATCAGCTCCAACGTACGGGTGAGTGTGAGGCCACACACAGCAGCAACTGTGACTCACCTGGGAGATCAGCGGGATGATAGTCTTTCCAGCATGGCCACCAATAACTGGAACACTTACTCGAGCTGGATCTAAGCCCTGAGAGAAACAGGAAACTTTCCCAGCTTCTGAAGCACATCGACAAGCAAAGAATTTAAAAACATCACGCTCCACATTCCCCCTCAGGGTTTCTGGACACATCTACAACCGGGTGCTACACCAGGCAGAAGTCTCAGAGACAGCTACACGCCAGGGACAAAGCCAGATCTACAGGGTAGGACTCCCAGTAACTTCAGACAGTTGCAGGACCCCGGTAACTTTAAAGAGTTGCAGGGTACTGCTAATGGAAATCCAGATAAATAGGTGCACAAGTACAAACGCCCTCAGGGCCGTTAACAGCAGCGACCTGGTACACTTCCTGCTGCTTTGCAGAACACGCCGTAACACGCAGCACGGACCGTCTGACTTGCAAACACATTCAAGCCTCTCCTCCCGTTACACCAGCAGGGTTGAAAATACCAGGAGAATTAAGGCGAACATGGAGCTTGCTCACAGGGGACAGCTATGAAAAGGAAAGGTCAAAGTCTCTTGAACCACATTTTGCAAGAAACCCTATCCCCAGGCTCCTCTAGAGACTGAAAACAGGGAATGATGGCCTTGGCCTCTAGCTGCACAGAAATCTGAGCTCCTCTGGCTCCCTGCAGAGATTTTTCTATAAGCATTTTTGATAGATCTGATGACCAAAGCAGGCAGTATCCTCCCCCAGCACCTGTTACTATGACCCACCTTTAGTTCAGCCACAAAAGTATTTGCTCTGACAATGTCCAGCGTTGTAACACCAAAGATTCTGTTGGGATTATACACACCATGCTTCTTGAAGACTTCTGAAGTTATTGGGATGGTTGAATTCACCTACGAGCGAGGATAGGCATGCCTTCGTTAAAACCAGTTTATTAACGAAGCCAACGCACGAGCTGAACAGGTCAGTAAGGAACCGGAAGTATACTTCCAACTTGAAGTCAACTGCAACTTTAAACTGAAGAGCAATTTACAGCCAGGCTGGAATAAGAATCAACCATTAAAATATCCATTAAGACAATAAATCTGTTCAATCAATTTACAAAGGGTCTTCCCTTAGTGAGCGAAGACTTCTACCCCAGCTACCACACCAGATGTATTATAACCAGAGTCAGGCAGATGTTGGGATACACTTTTACATCCAAGTTTCTTTGACTTAAATACAGCCAAGAAAATGGCTTAGTAAAACCAGGCTTTTAGTTCCTTCCTGCAAATACACTGCAGGCCTTAAAGATACTGGTCCAAACTAATAGGAACTCGGATTACTCTAGTATTTGGTGTCTGGATTTTTTTTTTTCCCCTCTATGTTTCCCAGGTTTCCAAAAGATAGATGCTTACCGGGTTAGAAATAATACAGATCATGGCTTCTGGACAGTGCTTTGCACAGGCAGATGTCAAAGTTGCCACAATGCTAGCGTTGGTGTTGAAGAGGTCATCACGGGTCATACCTGAAACGCAGCCAGGACAGTATACAAGTTACCCAGAGTCTACTCATTAATGGGCAAGCAACCCAACCCAAAACCAGGGTTCTCTGCTGGAGAGACATATCACCTTCTGGTATCGTACATTGAGAGTAAAAACTCCCCAGCTGCAGTAATGAATTGGCTCCAAAGGTAACTCCTCTCGCTAATATGAGTGTCCTTTCACATCGATCCGCCCTGTTCAGGGGCGACCAGCCCAGCTGCCAACCGTCGGGAGCTCTTTCACCTCGGCCGCTTGACGTAGGTTACATCCATGCTGCCCCCCACCAGCACACCAGTGGGGCTCAGAGCAGCGCCCTCCTCCCCCTCTGCAGTCACACTCCCCAGCCACAGCTTGCACGCCCACTGCCCTGTGCAAAATACTGCTAGTCGTGCAAGTGCCACCTCTCATTTCTACTGCAGCAACCACAAAAAATGAAGAATTTGGAAGAGCCAGGCATTAAAGTCTAGAATTCTGTTGCATTCCCAACAGGATACTGAAAAACAGGAGAAACAGAGCAGGTCAGAGCCATCCTAGGAAGGCTTAACAGCATTCATTCAGAGATGCCATGAGGAGTTGTTATACAGTTACTGCAAAGCAAACAGATTATTTCTGTCCTGCTGAGAAATGAAACAAAAGAAGCAGGTTTATTTTTATTAGTGCATTGCTCTGGGCAAGAAACACAAAGGGAGATTCAGGATCACTCATGTGAGAAGTTTTTGCACCTCACCCCTACGGAGGAACTCCAGAAATCAGTTCTGCCCACTTTACCAAGGACACTAAGACAGGCTGAGTTGCCTGACAGTACGAGAAGCCATAGGTGACTGCGCTCCCACCCCCAGCCCACGCTACTGTAAGGCGCCAGCCACAGCCCCGCAACGAACCCCCGGGGCGTTTTAACACAGGGCACATACCCGGTTTTCTAGGGACTCCCGCAGGAATAACAACAACATCACAGCCCTTCAGACAATCTGGCAGCTGCTCAGGTCCCAGGAAGCCTGAAATGGAAGATATTCAGGCGTTATGCTTTTACCAGTTATCTGACACTTTGAAGTACAAAATTATGCCCAGAGGCAACCGATTCCTTTTTGAGTTTAGCCTTCGATTCAGGCTTATGCTGAAAAGCAAAGAAATACAATTACGGATGGATCCTATCTGATGTTTTATCCTTGTTTCAAAACTCACAGAATGAGAGTGGTGGGAATCTCACACTCCTCTTTTTCAAAAGCCCTCAGTTCTTCCTGCTGTGTCTATTTACTCTCCAAAACCCCTAGCTTGGCACTAGTCTGTGCCCCCAGAGAACTGCAGACAGCCACATTCAAGTAAAATGTAACCTCCTGGCCATCTTCAGATAAGATGAAGATCAGCAGATTAAGTTTTGATTTCATCAGAAGGTGACAGCTGTCCCTACGGAAAAGCAGCATGCAGAATTCACGCGGACACCCAGGGAGCATTAAGCCTATTCGTGGTCAAACTTTTAAATTCAACACCCAGGCTTTTTTCCCCAAGACAATTTTACTCACGTTTTCTGCCAGTTATTACGAATTCCCCTTCAACAGTGCAACCACAGACTATTTTCATCTCCATACATGCCAAACTAATCAGCTAAACCTTAATTAGTCATGCACTGCTTGGGAAAAAGCTACTTAAATGGATACTAGGCTTCAGGATCACGTGAAGATTCCCCTTCCCACGCAACAGGCATCTCCAGGGACACGCGAGAGGACCCCCTCAGAGCACAGATGGCTTCCAGCAGCTCGCCATACCTTTAACATTCGCCCTCGTCTCGATGTGGCTGAGGTCAGCGGCAACGCCGGGCGTGTGAGCGATATCGTAAAGGCTGAGCCTGCTCACCAGCGGGCTGTTCTTCAAGAGAAGGGAGAGAGGCTGGCCGATGCCTCCCGAGGCCCCCAGCACCGCTACCTTGGCATGGTTCTGAGGAAAAAAACCCAACAAACACATTGTAGAGATGTTATGGTAGTTACTGCAGCAGTGACCTCGGGGATTTCACCACACTTTCTTTACTTTTAGTTCTATTTATCCATTTTTTTTTATCAAGCACTATGCAAACTTGTTTGCCTAAGCCCACAGAAAGCGATCATCACGACGGCCTCCCAAAGATCCTTGAGGTTTATTGGTGGGACAAGTCAGAGGAAAACGTTCGTTTGCGATCTGACGCTCAAGAGGGAAGCACAGCTAGGCGACAAAACCAAAAGGATCATCTTTCTTCAGATGGAAACATTTGCCTGAGACTAATACCTGCTGCCCTGTGGACCTAGGTCTGACTTAGGGCAAAATCTGTTATGCAGTTTTTCTGGTTTTCGCTGTCAGTATCAAAACAATACGCCTTCCTACTTGGCAAATCAATACATTTAATGGACTACAATAAGGGCAATAGCCATGGCACATATGTGAAGAAAATGTACATGCCCAAAATGTAGATGCCCTCAGCACTGAGGCCTGAGAACATTAAGGGACTACAATTTCCACCTTTGATCAAGCGTGGCTGAGAAGCAAATAAAATCAACTCTGTTTTGTTGCCCTGTGAACCAACTTTAACGGGAGGAAAGTTATTTCTCCCAAAGACGCCAGCGCTCCTGTTTGTAGAGCAAGTGTCACTAGATGAGAGTAAAGCTGCTTTAAAAGACCAGCACAACCTTGAAACGCAACACTCTGCCAAGGCGATGGCAAACCAGAGGCTGCTGCAGCAATGCAACGTGGTAATACCGTTATCGCTGATAAGGACGTTCTCTATCACTGTCTGACCAGATAAAGCTGCAATAGGTCCAAGTCCCTGCACGAACCGCTTAGTTATTCTGCTGTGACAAGAAATAATCTACCCAGAGGCTCAATCAGCCTTGCCTCAGTTTTCCTGCTACTGCAACAAATATAGCTTAGCATAAAACTCTCCAAGGGGAAGCAAAGTCTGGCATCAGTCATGCTATGGCCTGTGTTTACTGCTGAGCTGACGAGATCAATCACCTCGTTGCTAATACATATAATTCCTCCCAAAACAATTACATAAAACCCTTCTGTAAAGCACATCTTTATAGCTACAACGATCATTCCGTCAGGTGCCACTGGGAACTATTTACGTTGGAAGACACAGGTCTGTCTCTACCTACTTACCAGGCAGCAGCAGTCCTCTCCCGGTATCAAGAGACACGCACAATGGGTTTCAGCATATTAAGGATTACTGTTAAACCTCTAACTGCCAGTTTTAATTCTTTAATTCTTGAAAGCAGGGGCATATTTCAGCAGGGGAAGGAAGCAGCCACTGGAAATGCCTGCCATCCATCACATGCCAGCAGAGAAAAGTGGATGACATGGATGATGGCATCGAGTGCACCCTCAGCAAGTTTGCCGACAACACCAAGCTGTGTGGCGCGGTCGGCACGCTGGAGGGAAGGGATGCCATCCAGAGGGACCTGGACAGGCTGGAGAGGTGGGCCACTGCCAACCTCATGGAGTTCAACAAGGCCAAGGGCAAGGTCCTGCACCTGGGCTGGGCCAATCCCAAGCACAAGTACAGGCTGGGTGGAGAGTGGATAGAGAGCAGCTCCGAGGAGAAGGACCTGGGGGTACTGGTGAATGAAAAGCTGAACATGAGCCGGCCGTGTGTGCTGGCAGCCCAGAAAGCCAACGGTATCCTGGGCTGTATCCAGAGAAGTGTGGCCAGCAGGTCGAGGGAGGGGATTCTGCCCCTGTACTCTGCTCTGGTGAGACCCCACCTGGAGTGCTGCGTCCAGCTGTGGAGCCCTCAATATCAGAAGGATATTGACCACTTGGAGCGAGTCCAGAGGAGGCCACAAAGATGATCAGAGGGCTGGAGCACCTCCGCCATGTGGACAGGCTGAGAGAGTTGGTGGTGTTCAGCCCAGAGAAGGCTCCAAGAAGACCTTATT